TTAAAATGCTTGCCTTTCTTTCTTAAGGGGTGATTCGCAGGAAGAAATCGACGATGGCCAAGGTACATGACCTTTCGACATTTTTTCAAGAATATACCTTTAATGTCATCGAAACAGTGCGTGCATGCATTATATCCTTTGTTTGATTGTCCTGAAAGATTACTTAGAGCAGGCCAATCATTGATTGTTACGAACAACAATGCTCGTAGGTCAAAGTGCTCCTGTTTGTGCTCATCCCACACACGTACACCTGGTCTGTTCCACAAAAGTAGAAGTTCTTCAACTAGTGGTCTTAGGTACACATCGATGTCGTTGCTAGGTTGCCTTGGGCCTTGGATGAGCATTGGCATCATAATAAACTTACGCTTCATGCATAACCAGGGAGGAAGGTTGTAGATACATAGAGTAACAGGCCAAGTGCTATGACTACTGCTCTGCTCCCTGAAAGGATTCATACCATCCGTACTTAAAGCAAACCTTAAGTTTCTTGCGTCATTTGCAAACTCCAGGAATTCTCTATCGATTGCTCTCCACTAGGACCCATCAACAGGGTGTCTCAACATATTGTCTACCTTACGGTCTTCTTTGTGCCATCACAATAACTTTGCATGGTCTTTGTTTCTGAACAGACGTTTCAAGCGTGGTATTATAGGAGCATACCACAAAATCTTGGCAGGGATTTTCTTCGTGGAACGTTCGCCCTCAACATCACCAGGGTCATCTCGCCTGATCTTATACCACGATGCATGACATACCGGGCATGCATCTAACTTCTCGTACTCCTCGCCATAGTAGAGGATGCAGTCATTAGGACATGCATGTATCTTCTGGATTTCTAATCCCAAAGGGCAGACTACCTGTTTTGCTTCGTACGTAGTGATGGGAAATTCGTTATCCTTCAGAAGCATCTTCTTTTGGATTTTCAGTAACTCCCCAAATCCTTTGTCAGATACACCATTCTTTGCCTTTCATTGCAGCAATTCTAGTGTGGTACCCAACTTTTTATGTCCCGCATCACAAGTTGGGTAGAGCAATTTCTTGTGATCCTCTAGCATGCGCTCGAACTTGATCTTCTCCTTTTCACTTTCGCATTCTCTTTGTGCGTCACGAATGGCCTGACCAAGATCATCAGCGGGCTCATCTTCTGCCACTACCTCTTCTTCAGCTTCCCCCATTGCAGTATCATTGAAGGCACCATATTCAGCAATAGTGTCATCATCGTCCCATTGTTCTTCTTCACCTTCTTTCATTACAACTCCGGTTTCTCCGTGCTTCATCCAACAAATATAGTTTGGCATGAAACCCGACTTCAATAAATGTGAATGAAGAGTCCTTGAGCTAGCATATTCCTTCAAATTCTTACATATGGCACATGGGCAGCACATGAAACCATCGCGTTTGTTTGCCTCGGCCACACGTAAGAAAGAATGCACGCCCTCAATGAACTCTTAGGAGCGGCGATCAGCATTATATATCCAATGCTGGCTCATCTGCATTACATGACATACATACTATATTAAAACCTAGAACATAATTAGTTAATTATATGACATGCATGCTACCACACAAGGTATTAATTTATGAAAGTCTCGCTACAATGTGGACAATCCCAACTACCACTAAAAAAACTAAAGCTAAAATGTACTTCAGCAGCATAAGAATTTCGCGACCAATCCCAACTAAAACAGATAGATCATGTGTTTGTTCAACATATATGGGCTTCTTCCGCAGGATCACTGCCTCATTAACCGCCATAGCCGCCTGTGCAAGAGAGTTTTGCATGTGTTCAACATACTCTTCCTCCCAGTACCAGCCTGAACATCCAGTGTCATCCCACTGAAATTAAAACAAAAAATTAGAACTTTAATCACAATCATCATAAAAATAAGTATAAATTAACCATAATCATCAAATACGACAAAATAACTCACATTGCGATCCGGACACTCGTAGAAGATACGGCCCTTGTTGGGACACTCCTTCCTCATCCGGTACTCCATCACAATCTTCTCCTCACACTTGCATGCAATGAGAAGAAGGTCCGGCCTCAGTCGCTTTGGAACCCGATGAGAGGCCGAGGACCCAGAAGCAGTTGTCATCTACTCTCTATACTCATTTTTAATATAATATAAATTTCTTATTTTATAAACAAATAAAATTAAAAAACTCTAAAATTCTCTATATCTCTAAACCATGAAGTGTGCTATGCATGCTAGAAATGAAAACTCAATACTAGTTTTGAATAACTACTTTAACCTTCCTTCATCCAAATACTTAAACTTTAAAGTGATTTTGAGCTTAAATGGCTTACAAATAAAAAAAATCTACCATAAAAAAACACATATATCTAGTCCATATAATGAAATAAGCTACTGATGAAACATGAGAGTATAAAGTTGGTAACCTTTAGAACCGAAGAATCGATGGAGGAATGGAAGAAATCTTGTGATACACCGGTGATGAGGAAGAAGAGAGGCCGGCGATGAAGCAAGAATACTGAGCTCGAAGTGGCTCGGGCTCGGGGAGGAACAAGTGCTATATAGGAGGAGACCTTTAGTCCCGGTTGGAGACAGAAACTGGAACTAAAGGTCCCTTTCTAGTCCCGGACGAAGCCTCCAGCTGGGAGTAGACTTTTACTCCCGGTTGGAGGGACCAATCGGGAGTAAAAATTAACCTTTAGTCCCGGTTGATAGCTCCAACCGGGACTAAAGGTCCCCTGTAGCAAAAGCCTGCCACAGTAGCCGTTGGGCAGGGACCTTTAGTCCCGGTTAAAGCTACAAACCGAGACTAAAGGTCTCTCTAGTCCCGGCGCGAAAAATACCAGGACTAAAGCCAAATTTCGAGCTGGATCAAAGTCGTTTCTCTACTAGTGCTGCCTCCGTCCTCGCCGTGACCCCACGGACGCGTCTCGCCATCATGCCCATGTCACATCACGTCGCGTCGTGCCACGATGTTACCCAAGCCCCGCGACCGCGTCACCTTCGACCACCGCGGGCCTCTGCTTCGAGCCGCCGTCTTGCAGTTGCCCGAGTGCAATGTCGTTGACCCCGACGACTATGGCCGATGCATCCTCGCTCCCTCTGCTCTGACCACCGGATGTCTCCACCGCGTAGCCCCACCTTGGCCGGCTGCCGCAACCTGCTGCTTGGCCTCGCCGTGCTGTCACCAGACTCAGCCGCCCGAAGCTCCCTTGCGTCGCGCTGTTCGCCGTGCCGTGACACCTCGTCGTCGTCGTCCCACCTCTGCTCCAAGCCATGCTATCCACCCCTGCAACTTTGACCAGGAGCATGTCTGCCTCGTCACCGAACTGTGACCCGAACACCGCAAGCTGTTGCCTTTCTACTTCCCTACCAGCGAACAACAGCTACTTCCCAAAACCATCCCCGCCGGTGAGACACCATGAACCAAAGCTCCACCTTTCCCCCTCTTGCCATTGTTCCTGCCTGACACCGGCCTTTCGTGCTTTCTGAGTTGAATTTTTTATGTCCTTTTGTTTGTGCTTCTGATGTCTTGAGTTTCTGCTTGTTCTCTAGGGTTTTCAATGCCTCTCTTTGATTTTTAGGTGTTAATTGCTTGATCTCCACCTTATCCTTATCCTAGCTCAAGCCCATCCTTATTGCATCCCTTACCTTGGGGATACCTTGTATGCTAGCAAATATTGTTAATCCTAATGATTATATTGTCAATCAACCACCAAAATCAATAAAACCTCATTGGGATTTATATTTCTTATAACAACTAATTTGGATTCCAGATGATAGAGTTATGGACTTCAAAAAGAATCCAACTCATGCAAAATAGGTGACCCGATATGCATGCCAAGTGGTCGGGTTTTGCCGGCCAGATTAGATATCAAGATGAAATTAGCTTTCATTATGGAGTTTGAGTCGATTTTTATTGTAGTTCTCGATTTATTTAGACTCTAGTTCAAGATAGACCTCCCATCCTATAAATATAAAGGGCCATGCTCAACTGAGGATATCCATCAAACAAAACTCTACTATTTTTTATTTCTCTAAACCCTATTTTTTTGAAACCTCAATTTTATTTTCTCTTCATCTCCACAACGATTTGAGACATTCTAGGCAATCTTGCTGATCCTAGAATAACCTTAGGAACACCAACTCTAATAGGGTGCCCGTAGACATGTTCTCACAGGCTTTCTAGCAGACTTGACAAACTAGGTGACTCAGTATTTCATACCGGATGGTCTGGATTGCGTAGGCTTGCTACAAGCTCATCAATTTGCAATTCGTATGTTCTAGCACTTTGGTGTGTGGTCACATCTTGCGCCAACATATGCATTTTTAAACTATGCTTTTACTAGGATAAGAAGTTGATAAGCAAATTAAGTAATTAGTAAAGAACAAATTAGTCTTTTGCCAAACTCTTTGTTTGATCACAAAATTGTTTGGGACTGCTCCACGAATTTTGCTCTACAAATTCCACGGTGGAGCGGCTCCATGAAAAACCTAGAGTTTGTGGAGCACCCCTTTATGTGATTCACAACTCTATATTTTTTTTTCTAAACGGAGCGCATGGAGCTGAACCTGTTTGGCTAAAAAACACAGAGCAAAGCTGAAAAACTTAGGATGGAGCAGTACTAACACCCTCAAAACTTGAACAAAACGTTGTCCCTCCGACTTGGAAAGCAACAGCAAAAATTTGAAACCAAGGGCTTTTCTTTCTCCTCCCCAGTCCGCACGGCTCCTGAAGGGAATCGCATTCCTATCTCCTGCTTTCCTGGCGTCGAATCCTAGTCCCTGTCTCCCTGATGCCAAGTTTTCCATTCCCTCCGCGCCCCTCTAAACCCAACCCACGACAAGCCCAAAACCCCGGAAAACCCTAACCCTAGAGAAAAAGGCGCCGCCACCCAACCCAACCCACTCCACCCGGGCGTGCCCAATTGTTACCCGCGCCTCCTGCGGGTGGTTTCGTTCAAACCCAACCTAATTTTTCGCGAGCGCGCGCGTGCGGCGTTGCGAGAGGAGGCGGAGACGATGGCTCCGTTCGGCGACGGCGGCGGCAGCGGGGGTGGCGACGGAGGGGAGGCGCTGCGGGGCTGGGACCCGCTGCGCAGTGGCAGCGCGCCGCCGACGATGGAGGGCGCCGCGGCGGCAGCGGTGGCGGCGGAGAGGGTGTTTGGCGGCGGCGGCGGCGGCGCGTCGTTCTTCTCCGGAATCGACGGGCTCGGGTTCGGCGCGAGGATGGACGAAGTCAGCAGGCACTGCGGTGCCGCTGGAGCTCAGGTGAGGGGTGTTGCTGCTCTTGCTCATCGATGGTTTTGGTTTCTTTGGTGGATGTAGATTGGATCGTTTAGGTTGGGGTTTGCCATTGCCATTGTTCCGTCGATGGGCCTCTGAAGATTAGAGATGCATCTCACGGTTGCTACTCGGATTAATTCGATGTTCTTCTTGTGTCTTTGATGCTTGGGTTGGGATTCGTATTTTTCCCTTTTATTAAACAGATGACTAAGGTTTCTGTGTGCAACGAAGTTGGCAGAAACGTCAAAGTTGCCATCTTTAGTGTTGTTTGGTTTCCAATGCTAAACAAAAGTGTTTCTTGTCTTGAGTGACATTCTGTTGGTTCTTGCAGGTATTTATATTTCTCTTTTAGATTAGATAGATGCTTGGATGTCAGGTCGGATGTGTTGTTATCTTCTAAATATAGCATGGGATCTGTGTGATTTTGCTCAAAAGATTTGGATTTGCCACATGTACTTGTTTAGGCACAAATCAGCATCAGTATAGGCGATATATATTGGGAGCCGCCTACTGCTGATGATGATGTTTGCTGCTTCTAGTTCGCCAGCACTTGGGAACTACGTTTTCTGTGTCCATTTGCCATGTCCAGACCATCATATAGAATGGCTTGCTTAGATAACTCACCAATATACATAATTGAAGGGATAATTTCTCTTCCTCTCTTCCATGTTGCAAGAACACACTTTTTCATCTATTTAGACAATTAATAGTTATGGTTCTTAAAATCTATTTTTACTTCAGCAGATGACTGTTTTTTAGAGACAATTATTTTACACGTCAATTTGTTGGACGATTAGCTTCAATCTGCATTTGCTTGGAACTGAACTTTCTATTCTACATGCAACTTTTCTTATCTGTTCTGGTGCCACTGTGCTCGGGGGCGGAGCTTGGAATAGGGCAAGGAGGGTGCTTAGTAATGGAAAATTAGATGTAAACCATACTTTTGGGCATGTTAATCATGGTTATACACTTTAATCAAGGTACTGTGTAAAAAGGGGTAATATGTGCAGTGGGTGGGCTGGATTGGGGGTGGGTGGTTTTGCAGCCCTGGCAGCACCTTCCCTATGCTGCCCCTTGTTGTGGTACTGACATTCACTGTCATGTTTGCATGCTTAATGATTTATTTTGTACCCTTTTTTTTTGTAAAACCTCGTATAAGATCTTTTCATAATTCTTTTGTTTAATTTGTTACTTTCATTTCTTTGCTAACTGTTGGAAGAAAATGCCTTGTTCATTTGAAATAATTTTGGCTTTATATATTTGCTTCAGGAACATTTTGGCAATTCTGCATCTTTATCTGTTGGACCACCTAGCCTCCTACTTAATGGTACTGGAGACTTGGATGAACGGCAGTTTGGACCGAGCAGAGTTCATAGTGGTGGCGCTATGTCAAACTACTCTGCATTTGACATGGGCTCGCTTTGGAGAGACATGGATCCCGACAATGCTGAATATCACAGAAATATCCAGAATCGCTTCATGTCAAACATAGAAAAGATGAATGCTTGTGGCAATAGGGATCTTAATGCTTCCTACATGGCTGATTCTGGTCTTTCAGATGCTTTATCTGGGTTGAGGCTGTCTAATAGCCCAGTAATGGACCAAAGGAACCATGGGGAAGAGCTAGATGAAATACTCAAGCGTCAAAGGGATTTCTCTAAAATTGGTGATGAAAACCGGTCACCTTTGGTTGGTAATGTTTTTCGGGCACCTAGGTCGGATGTGCATCCACCACCAATGTATGGAGATGGTATTTTACGGAGGCAGACCAGTGCATTAGATGGTTCCAATGTTTCAAGGATCAGTCGCCATCACATAAAGGGTGTTGATCACTTATCTTTGGCTGAACAGCTAGCTATAATGCAATCAGGCAACTTGCCTAGAGGAACCAATCTTTCTCGCAATGCGGCTATGACTAATATGATCAACCCCATGAGCAATAGATACAACAGCAATACAGACTTTGATTTGGTTAGGAGTCGAAGGGCGTTCCTTGAGGATCTACTTGCACAACAGAATCTGCAGGAGGATAATCTGTCATATAATGATAGTAGGATCTATCATGATGAGCCTCGTTTTCCCTATTCAAGAATGCAAAGATCTGTATCTCATTTTTATCCAAACTCGAGGCACGTTGTATCACATGGTGATCGGCAATCACAGCTCTTCTCCCTCAATAGAAAGGCAATGGGTAGAAATATTGGATCACAGGTCTATCACGACAATACATTAGCAAACTACCAGGATGTGCCTTCTTTGGATAATGCAGATAGAAATGGACTTGATTCAGTGGAGCTGATTGATGTAGTGGGCCGTGTTAAGGAAGTTAGGCAAGTTTTTCTTTCTTTCTTTCATTCTACATTTCTATTTCTTCAACAGAAAATTTCATCTCATTCATTTCTGTTCTAATGCAGTATGGATCAATATGGAAGCCGGTTTATTCAACAAAAACTCGAAATTGCATCACCGGATGTCCGGGAAAAAATATTTCCAGAGATATTATCCAATGCCATTGCTCTAACAACTGATGTTTTTGGCAATTATGTTATCCAGAAGGTATATCTGTCTATCCTAGTTGGATTATTTATATTTCTTGTGTAATCCTGACACTTGTATTGTGGTGTTCTCAGTTTTTCGAGTTCGCTACAGAAAGTCAGTTAATCCAATTGGCAGATCAACTCAAATGTCACATTTTGGAACTCAGCCTCCAGATGTATGGTTGCAGGGTAGTTCAGAAGGTCTGTTCTGTGTTTAGTATTGTGTATATATATTATGCCATCAAAGCTTTGAACAAAATATGTGATTCGTCCATACTTTGTACCTTTTATGCAATGTTCTGTGCAATTGTTTACAAGGTCTCTTTTTTCCAAATATAAGATCTGAATTTAAATTCTTTTTTTTTCTGTTGTTTAAAACCAAAAAAATGTTATATGATTATTTTCGTCTCTTATTTCACTTTAACCTGGTTAATGCTGTTTTTCATCATAAATGGATTTAGTCTTCAGCTTACTTAGCACACATCAAAATTCTGCATGAAAGTAGCCATAAGAAATAGATTTGCTTATATAAAGGGGTAGGGGTCTATTGGCTGGGCATATGCTGCTTTAAAATGGTGGTGCTGGGCAGTCCCTGATGACATTGCAATTTAACCACAGAAACTTATACCAAATTTCTTTTTCCCTATTAATGTAGTAATTTCGGGCTAGATTGATGTCACATTACTTTTCATAGTTGGCAAATTTTGGAATTGCTTGCTTTTTCTTTCCAACGAGTATTGATGCTTTCTTCAGGGGCTTGCAATTAGTTTGTGTAAAACATTAATAATATAATATGATTTTAGTATGATGATTGCATTTATTCTGGTGTAGAAATGCTGCCAGTTACCTTAATGATTTACTCTCTCTGTTCGAGAATACAAGGCATATTTTATTTTGTCAGGTCGTTGAAGTTACCTTTCACCATTGTTTTCTCATAAAATATATCATTTATTCCTGCAAAACCAGTATTGTGTGAAAGCATTTGAAACTCGTGTCTAATTGTATAAATTTTTGTACACCAAAACACTTGTATTTTGGCTAATTGTTGTAATACATGAAGTTTGACTTTTTTCAAAAAAAGTGCTCCTCCTGCACCAAGTCAGTATGTTGGTCTCCAGGCTCCACTATAGGCCAATATGTTTTATGATATCTAGATTCAAATTTCTATGATCGGTTTGAGTTGGAGTGACATGTATTTTATTTTAGTTTTAACATGCTGGATATTTAGTTGAGGAATACAAAACAGTTTTTTACTGTTATGTCATGATTTCTGACTACTCAACTTTGCCCCTCTGTTGTGCACTGTTACTTTGTTCATTGTGGTGTTATTTTTATTTCTAATTCTAATTAATAACCCTAGTTGCAAGTCCTTTGGTGGTTCTGTGCCTTTTAAATTAGTCTCAAACAGCCTCTTCATTTCACATGTGACATTGTTATGGAACTTTCATCCCCAATTATAGTTTGCTTTACCTGATTTATGTCCTAAATTACTGAACTTGAACTGAAAAACTCAAGGGTCTAGCAGACTGTTAGATGGTTTTTTGTTTGAGGATTGGCTTCACTATAGTATTTCCTGGTCATCATGTGGCAATCAAATGATTATTTTGGTCGTTGTAACCTCATTCGTTAGCTTGTGGGAACAACAGTTAAATTCACTCTTGGAAATCTCTGCTTACAGCCGCATTGCCAACCCAATTTATATTAACTCTGGCCTTAATGGACGTCATCTTATGGGTTGTCCATGTTTGCTTGAATGTCCTTAGTCCTGTTATTATTATCTATGGCAAATTATCCATAGTAAATTGTTGTGATCCTTTTGAAATCCAATGGCATTAGAACCAGATGCATTATGATTTTTTAATTTCTTTTTGTTGATCTCCTGCACCACGTCCAATGAAGTTTAATCTATCCTTGTGGTGCTTTATGAGATAATTTCTGTTGTTCATATTAACAGGTTTTGGAGGTAGTTGATATGGATCGAAAGATCGACATTGTTCATGAGCTCAAGAATTATGTTCTGAAATGTATTGGTGATCAAAATGGTAACCATGTGATCCAGAAATGCATTGAGTGTGTTCCTGAAGACCGCATTCCGTTTGTTATTGATCCTATACTTTCACAAATTCTTGTTCTATGTACCCATCAATATGGCTGCAGAGTCATTCAGGTAAATAACACATCATTGTCTTTTTTAAGACGAGTCTTGTTCCATGTACTAACTAATTTCATTGTTACAGAGAGTTCTGGAGCATTGCCATGATCCTGTGACTCAAAGTGCTATCATGAATAAAATTGTGCAGCAGACCTTCCATTTGACGGATGATAAATTTGGGAACTATGTGGTTCAAGTATGTGAATTATTTCTCCCTCTTGTGTTTATTTGAATATCTAACTTTTGATTTCCATGGTACATTGGAATATTCACTTAATAAACTCAGGAACTATGTTAATGATATTTGAGCAAAATCAAGCTACTTTCTTGTTGGCGTAGATCACCAGATCACAGGTAATTCGGCACAAATAGAACTGGGGCTGCCAGAGGGCAGCTTGGCCAACAGGCCGCTTGGATTGTATTGAATTGCAATAACAACTTGGATACAAGAAGATGCTAACCACTGCATATATAAGCAAGTGGTGTACCTACTCCTTAGCATATTCTAACTGCATAAAGCAGATGCTATGATTCCTACTTGGTTGCCAAGGCACCATGATCAACTTGGTTGCCAAGGAACCTGAAAATTACATGACAGTGAATAGTAAATAGCTATAGTAGGTAAGCTGGAAAACATGAACACTAGGCTAACTCACGACAATTCTCCCCTTTAGCCTTGTGGTCCTTGGAAGTGATCCGCTTGAGCCCAATTCTTCCCTCATCTCTTCAAATTTTGATCTTCCAAGAGACTTGGTTAGAATGTCACCGGTGATCGGTGGTGGATATGTGATCGCCCCCGATACTTCCATCTTCCAAGCAGTTTTCGATGAAGTGATACTTGATTACGATGTGCTTACTGCGTTCATGAAAGACTGGATTCTTGGCTAGAGCAAGTGCGGACTTGCTATCAACTTTCAGTTCAACCACTTCCACATTCCTTCCAAGGAGGTCACGCCAGCACTGGATAGCCAAATAGCTTGTGTTGCGGTGTTGTGGTAGTGGCAATGTACTCGACTTCACAACTAGATAGAGCCACCACCTTACGCTTCACCGATCGCCAAAGACAGAAGATTGCTTCCGAGAAAGAACAGGGTGCCACTAGTGCTCTTCTTTCGGTGTCAATGTCCCTAGCCAAGTCCTTTGTCGCGATACCCAACAAACCTTGCTCTCCCTGGAGCCTTAGTGTAGTAGTGAGGCCAAACTCTAGAGTACCGACCACATATCTCAGATGCGCTTGATGGCGGCTTGGTGCTCTGCAATCGGCCTCTCCATGAATCGACCGACAAAGCCTACTGAGAAGGCTAAGTCAGGTCTTGTGTGGACCAAGTAGCGCAGGCTGCCCACCAATCTTCTGCATTGGGTAGGATCAACTTCTGCAGTCGTGCTCTGCCTGCTCAACCTCAACCGCTCCTCCATTGGTGTATGGGCGGGGTTGGAGGCATCCATACCTCCTAGCTCAAGGATCCTCTTGGCATAATGGGTTTGCCTCAGAGTGATCCTAGCTGAATCTTGGTGTACTTCGACCCCCAGGTAGAAGGACAGGAGGCCGAGGTCGCTCATGTCGAAAACCTTCTTCATCTGAGCCTTGAAACCTTCTATGGCTTGAGCGCTGGCACCGGTGATGATCAAGTCGTCAACATAGACGCCGATCAACAGCAGCTCTTCCCTGTTCCTCGCCTGTACATCGCAGCTTCATGGTCGCTTTGCTGGAAACCCATCTCCTTGAGGGTGGCATCTAGCTTGGCGTTCCAAGCTCGCGGAGCCTGCCGTAGGCCATACAAAGCCTTGCGCAGACGGTACACCAACTTCTCCTTCCCGGCGATGGTGAAGCCAGGCGGCTGCTTCACGTACACCTCCTTGAGGTCGCCGTTGAGGAAGGCCGATTTGACGTCCATGTGGTGGACGCGCCATCCTTCTTGGGCCGCCAGCGTGAGGACTCGGACGGATTCCATGCGCGCCACGGGAGCAAACGCGTCGTCGAAGTCGATCCCTTCCTGCTGGACGAAACCCCGCGCCACCAAGCGCGCCTTGTACTTGGTCACCGCGCCCCGCTCGTCCTTGACCTTGTAGACCCACTTCAGAGTGATGGGCCGGTGACCGGGAGGAAGCTCCACAAGCTCCCACGTACGGTTCTGCTCAACCGCCTTGATCTCCTGCTCCATGGCGGCCTGCCAGGCAGGATCGCCTTCAGCCTCTGCGAAGTTGGCCGGCTCGCCGGCGTGCGTGAGGTGAAGCTTCGGCAAAGAGGCGTGAAGCCGGCGGCGGTGTGGCGGCCCCCCCGGCGATGTTGGGCATGGTGCGGTACGCTTGTTGCTTTCGCCGTCGTAGGAAGCGTCAAGGTGATCGTCGTGCGTCCTCGAAGCGGTGATGCGAACTCAATTGGAGTCCGCCGCTTTCGGTCTCGTTCTTTGGTGAAGCGAGAGGCGGTGTATCGTGCTCCCTCGGAGGTGGTGACGGCGTCAGCGCGATCGAGCTCCGTTGCGTCGACTCCCGAACTCGATGTCGAAGTCATTTGAGGCGAAGCAGAACATCCGGCGGCCGGTGGACCAATCCCAGCCGCGCCCTTCATCAAACACCACGTCGCGGCTCACCTTGACGCGTCCTGTCGCCGGATCGAGGACCCGTTAGGCCTTGGCGCCCTCGGCGTAGCCGATGAAGACTCCAGCCTTGCCGCGGTCGTCGAGCTTGCGCAACTGCCCGAGCTCCCTTGTAGGTGACGCAGCCGAATGTACACAGATAGCTCACCGCCGGCGCTCGTCCGTGCCAGGCCTCATAGGGGGTCTTGCCTTGCAAGCTTCTTGTCGGCGCGCGGTTGAGCAGATGCACCGCCGTCATCACCGCCTCCCCCCCCAGAATTTGGCCGGCATGGACCTCTGCTTCAAGAGCGAGCGTGCGGTCGCCATGACCGTCTGATTGCGCCGCTCCACCACACCGTTCTGCTGCGGTGAGTGTGGTGCAAAGTAGTGCCGCTTGACTCCTTCGGCGGCGAAGTACTGCGCCAGCTCGCCGACGGTGAACTCTCCTCCATTGTCGGTCCGCAGCACCTTGAGCTCACGGCCGGTCTCCTTCTCTGCTTCGGCCTTCACCCGCTTCACGGCGTCCGCAGCAGCATCCTTGGTCGGCAGAAGCACCGCCCACATGAAGCGGGTGGCGTCGTCCACCATCAGCAAGAAGTAGCGGCGCCCTCCTGGCGTCGCTGGGCCGCACAAGTCGCCGTGGATGAGGTCCAGGCGCTGCTTGTGAGATCGCGCTCGCTCTTGAAGCGGCTTGCGGCGGAGCTTGGTGGTGACGCAGGTGTCGCAGACTTGCTCCGCATGCTTGATCACCGGCATCCCCCTCACCATCTCCTGCTTGCCGAGCTGGTGCAGCGCCTCGAAGCTGAGATGCCCGTAGCGCTCATGCCACCTCCATGACTCGTCCTCCTTCCTGGCGTCAAGACACACCGGCTGCGCGGCCTCCAAGTGCAGGATGTACAGCCGACTGGGCCCGCGATGTACCTTGGCGAGAAGACGACCACGCCGGTCCCAGATACGGAGCACTCCATGTTCAATCTCCACCCTGGAGCCTCCTTCGTCGAGCTGCCCCAAACTCATAATCGAGTTCCGGAGCGCTGGAATGTAGAAGACGCCATGGAGGACGCGCTGCTCCCCGTTCTTGGCCTGGAAGACGATGGAGCCGGTCCCCTTGATCTCCACTCGAGACGAGTCGCCAAAACGCACCGTGCCGCGCGCCGTGGTGTCGAGCTCGGCGAAGAGCTCCCGGCGGCCGGTCATGTGATGCGTGGCCCCGCTATCGAGGTACCAGCCGTCGAGCGCCTCCTCGTTGGCGCTGGTGTTGAGGAAGACACGCGCGCGCGGCTCGTTGATGTCGAGGGAAGCCGTGGCCTTGGAGCAGACGGCTTTGGCCTTCTCGTCGAGCTCGAGGAAGCCGTGGGCGAGGAACAGAGCACCATCATCGTCCTCCGCCTCTGCGACGTGCGCAGCACCGCCACGCCCACCACCGCGCTGTGCACCTCGATCACCTCCAACGCGGTTGCCTCCTCTGCGTTGGTTGCCACCGCCGCCGCCGCGGTCACCACCACCACGGCGCGGCTGGCGGCAGCCACGCGCCCAGTGGCTGCGATCACCACAGTTGAGGCAGGTGTCGTCGTCCGCCCCGCGATCGTCGCCACCGCCTCTGTCTCCTCCGCTGCGATTGCCCTTGCTGCGGCGCTTCTTCTTTGCAGCGTGGGCGACGTCGTGGTTCCTTGCCCGACGCAGCGAAGCGGCAGCCTCCTCCTTCTCTTGGCACGCCATCGCTCCCTTGTGTCGGCAGAGACCGCCGATGGCGGCGGTTCCATGACGGCGCCTCCATGTCGTCCACCGTCTTCAAACGCCCAGACACCTCCTCGATGGTGAGGTCCTGGAAGTCGAGAAACGTCTTGATGGCAATCCGGAGCGGGCGTGCCGGCGACTGCGGCGCGAGAGAGCCTCTCCACCGCGCGCTCTTCATTGATGTCGTTGTCGCCGTGGAGGAGCTGTTGCTTCAGGGCCATCAAGCGAAGAGTGAAGTCCTCGATCTGCTCACCCGGACGGAAGGCGAAGCTTCCCGATCGGCGCTGCGAGTCGCTGGGCGTGGCCGGCACACTCGATCGACGCCGATCCACATGCGGCGGCGATGGAGTCGAGCCTCCTTGGCGATCCCTTCTCGACAATGGCATCTGCATCTCTGCGGACGCGGCGGCGATGATCGCCTCCACCGCGGCGCTTTGTCCTCATGGTAATGCGGCATGTCCGGTACTCGATCGCGCCCCGAGTTGCGGCGCTGGAGCTTCAGCTTCATGATCGAGGCCCACTCATGGTAATTTGACTTGGTGAGCATCGGCCAGGTGGAGCTTGAGCCAGAATCCTTGTATACGGTTTGGATCACCGGCGAGCGGCCCCTGGCCCGTCCGCGGCGGCGATCCTGATCCCGATCGGGCGACCGCGTCTGCCTGCGCTCGCGCTCCTCCGCGGAACCGGGCGGTGATCGCGCGGCGGATCCTCCTCCACCAACTCTCGACGCAGAGCCGCGGCCCGTGGCCGCGTTCGAGCTGCTCTTTGCTGCTGCTCTGCTGCTATGCTGCTTCGGCCTCTACTTGTGACTGACGACAGCTTGCGCATGCTGCTCGGCGGCGGCGGCGGCTGCTGCTGCTCTCTCTGCGGAGGTGGCCATGCCTCTCCCTTTCTCTCAACCTGGAGCTCTGGTACCAATTGTTGGCGTAGATCACCAGATCACAGGTAATTCGGCACAAATAGAACTGGGGCTGCCAAAGGGCAGCTTGGCCAACAGGCCGCTTGGATTGTATTGAATTGCAATAACAACTTGGATACAAGAAGATGCTAACCACTGCACATATAAGCAAGTGGTGTACCTACTCCTTAGCATATTCTAACTGCATAAAGCAGATGCTATGATTCCTACTTGGTTGCCAAGGCAAAATGATCAACTTGGTTGCCAAGGAACCTGAAAATTACATGACAGTGAATAGTAAATAGCTATAGTAGGTAACTGGAAAACATGAACACTAGGCTAACTACTGACATTTCTCTGCTGTGCTGTTATATTATGTTGCCTTTGCCTCTGGTGTACTAACTTGTTTTTTTTTTTTGTGAAATCTATTTCGAACATTCTATAGCATGTGTTGGAACACGGGAAGCCAGAAGAACGTTCATCCATCATTGAAAAGCTCTCAGGGCAAGTGGTCATTTTGAGCAAGCAAAAGTTTGCTTCTAATGTCATTGAGAAATGTTTGGCTTTTGGAACTCCTGAAGAACGTGATAGCCTTATTGGGGAAATCATTTCATCTGGTCAAACATTTCAGGTTTGTCCTATTTTATATTGCTATAAGGTGGTACATTTTGGCATTCCATAGACAAACCATTCCACTTTTATGCTTACTTGATCACAGTGTTTCAAGACATTAAGACTACATCTGCATAATAATATTACCTAATTCATGTCATGGCTGTATTTTTCATGACAATAATAGATGGCATTCTGGTATACATTTCACACATCAGTATCACCATGGTTATTGTTTTTTTTCTTGTGTAGCTAGAATTATTTTCACATCTGTTGCCAATTTCATAAGAGCCTTGTGGAGTATTCTGGGCACTATAGCTGTTAGATTTCAATTGGCACAGGTAGTATGTACATGTTGTACATGCACATGGTGCTTTGGCCTTTAATCTGTTTGAACATGCATGCCATGTTCTCTTTGTTGGAGTTTAACAAGTTTGATGGCGCTCTTAAATTTTTTTGGAGTTTATTGGTGATGCATTTTTTCATTCATGACTCATGACTATATGCATCTGTTTTGCAGGAATTGATGAAGGATCAGTTTGGTAACTATGTTGTACAGAGAGTCCTTCAGACATGTGATGACAAGTACCTAGAGATGATCCTCTCAAGCATCAAACTACACTTGAATGAACTGAAGAATTACACGTACGGGAAGCACATTGTGGCACGTGTCGAGAAGCTAATCGTTACAGGAGGTAAGCAGACAGCACATTATTTGCATCGTGATGCAAAAAGAAAGAATTTGATGTACTCCTATACTGAACCAAGCACTTTCCTGTTTCTGATTTCAGAGAAGCGAGCAAGGATGGCGTCCCTGAGTGTCCAACATCAGCAGCCACCGAACTGTACAGCTGTAGATGCACACTAATCCCTTTTTATGCATGCATTGGCGTTAAATACGACGAGCAGTTGGCATAAGTGACGCTGAGAGTTCGGTTTTACTACATGGTTTAAATAGGGTACTTGCAGATAATCAAGGATTTATGTTGCCTGTATATAACCAGGTGTGGTGTTTTTGGGAACTCAGTAGTTAGATGAGAGGTAGGTTTTCGGCACTGTAAATCCTTCTGGCCATGTACAAGTTTATTACATACAGTGGATAATAGATGTACATTGTGCTGGAGCGTTAGCTTTTGGTAGTAGGTGAGAGCGGTGCTGTGTAATATATCTCTGGTGCTCGTCTTCTGATGAAGTCGGTAGAGCTCCAGTGCTGTTGGTTCACCGTACAACGTACAGTTGCTCTTTTGTAGCACTGATGATCCTTCAAATCTATGCTCGTTTTTCTTTCTTTCTTTCTTTCACGGCTATGTATGCTTGTTTCGACAGTTAAATTTTTAGAGAGGCTCTGGCGTCTTTTCTGATAATATTTCTTTCTTTTCTATGTAATGCATATTTTTGGTGAGGTTTTGAGTACTGCAGTGTGACGTGGAAGCAGGAGGGGTGAGGTTGCATGTTATGGGTCACTTTTGTAGAGCTCTCGTTCCTGATTCTTAAGTTTCACTTCTTGATTCTTCGAAGGAATGATTCTAGTGGGGAGTACGTGATTCTTGTTAGTTCTCCACCAGAGAGTGATTTTCGTTAGCTCCTCGTCAGAATCTAGTTCTATTTTAAGCGTTTGGTAGAGCTCTGGAAGCTGAGCGTGAAGTTAGGCTAGGAGCGGACAACTTTGCCCACTTTTATTTATTTTATATATTAATATCGTAATAAGGTGCTGGTACATACATATGGGGGATAGCAAGGTACAGGATACTTGCATGGTAGCGGTGGAGAGTTGTAGTTGGTAGATTAAGGGTCCTCAAGGTCTCCCTTTGGTAGGGGGGGGACCCTTTGGTAAGGGGGTCCTCGTGGCATCCATGACAATGCTCAACCTTATTATCATTACCGGTTTTCTTGAATGTTGCAGCATATGCCTTTGCTCGTCCTGCGACCTGATCACGTCTGCTCTTTTCTGCAGCCATTATAGGGGGCATCTCTGCAGTGCAATAGCTGATGAGGACAAGCATGAGAACAGCACACACAAGAATCTTCATTGCTCTTGGTGAACCTGATTAACCTGAGGGCATAGAAGTCATCATAAGCACTGAGATGAGATGATAATCTACTCTATCTGAAAGATCATTCTTGACTTACACATCATCAGAAATAGTCAAGTTTTGTACTATATATAAGCTCATGCAACAGTAGGAATATACATAAATATGCACATATTACTAAGAGAAAAATATTCTTTGTACATAACTTTTGCTATATACCTAGATATACGTCATGTCATGTCTATATGTATATTAAAAACAATAATTTGAAACTAAGTAAAAACTAGAATTTGAAAGAAATTATATGAAGTGAGCTACAAAAGAACTGTTGTGATGTTCTGGGCGTAGCTGCTATACGGAGCTCCTTGCAAGCAATGATCTTTGGTTGGTTCGAAATGTACTTTCGTGGTGGTACCCAATTTATAGAAGGTGTAAAGACTGTTTGAGCCAAGTACCTTTTGACGTATTCCTTGTTGCTAGTCCTGTAAATTGGCACAATAGGCAATATATGGTGGGTTGCAACGTTATCTCGTGAATTTGAAATGACTGGTTGCGATCAATTCTTGTCTACCCTCAAACCAGTGGTGTCAATGTGCTTGAGTCAGTTTACTGTGAATTTGGAAGGTGATGCAATTAAAGGAGCAATATTTTGGCATACCGAATGATGCCATTTTGTAGTTTTCAGCAAATTCATGTGTGCAAAACTATTGACTAGTGTAGATTTCTGCTAGTCGAATATCTCAAAATGACAAAAAAAATATAAGGCCTTGTTTGGTTCCCAGAAAAGTTGAGAGAAATTAGAAAGTAATTGAATAATGAAATGAAAATCACTTTCTAGATATCGGTTTCTTTATGGGATTCAAACAGGCTCCCAAAGGAATATCTCTATTTTCACAAGAAAAGTTTAATAATTCCTCTTGAAGTGAATCCTTGGACTACCAATTTTTACTCATGCCCCCCCCCCCCCCACCCACACACACACACACCCCAAAAAAAAACCTTATATAGAACCTCGAATTCTGTACAAACTAGCAAATGTGACCATGCGTTGTAACAGAACATACCACAAGAACAACTTAATTAAAGCTTAGAGATTTATACAGCGATTGTATATGTATTCTAATACATCTTGTAATATTAAATTTTGTACTGTGTCTGACTCGTATGTGTACCGAAGGTTTAGAATGATCACATTAGGCATTTCAATTCGTTTTAGGATTATACTTTTTTTATAAGAGGATTGGACTTGTATTTAATCACCCAGCTTTAGTCGGTCAATTCATGAAAATTAAACATTCCGTGTTTCAATATATTATTTTGTATGTAATATGGGCTCGTCTCACACAGTCTAGCTTATCTGTTCCAAGAACCACAAACAAAGCAGAGATGGCTGGGGCGGCCGGACCACTACAACTCTGGAAGGTGGCGGCGCAGCGGCGGCGTGCTTCCAAGAGTCTGTTGCACCATGTCCTCTGTTTTCACCCTCATAACCAGTGATGCCATGTTCACCCGCATCGAGTGGGAGGTGCGGCAGCTCCAAGCATAAGCCCGTGCAGCACCGACACCAAGAGATCTAACGCGTGAAGCCTAGAAAGAGGTCTAACTCCAGTGGTCTGATGCACGTGAGGGCAACTCCAGCAGGGTGACTCTAGTGGCCGCGGAGCCGCGCGGGGTGGAGCTCGGTTGCAGCCGCACCTGGACAGGCCAGTGCCGTCGGAGGAGCATGCAGACCGCCTGCCGGTATCGTGAGGAAGAAGCAGATCGAGCCGCCGGTGCTGCGGGATAGATGTGCGGCTCATCGCCGGTCGCTGCACGGATTCTAAGCGAGAGAGCTCCACTGTGCCAGTTTCCTCACGATCGCGTGGCTCACCTCAGGCGAGGCCTCGCGCACCTGCCATCGTCGTGAGCCTGGCACGTACCCGGCATCAACACTGTGGCCATGACAGAGCTTGCCACCAGCCACGAGCAAGAAAGCTCGGCTGCTGGAGCTCTGCGCAAGAACCAGGCAAGTTGCATGGGCGATGCCAAGCCTCGGCCGCCGCCGGCGAGCGCTCTGCATGTCTGCATCGATGAGCTCATCAAGCAGTGGTGCCTTGCCGTGGCCAGCGGTTCCGCATTGACTGCGTCATGGCTCTAGCACGTTAGTCATCATCACCATGCAGTGGCTCGACTTGAGAGTTCTTTGTTACCGATCGTATTAAGTGGTGTATATATACACAAACATTAGATTCAGCTTTTGTTGTTTTAATTTTTTCTCGATTTTTTGACGCGTCAGGATATAATATAACTCCATAAATGTTACATATGATTCTGATTCTTGCCGTTGCCGGTTAGGATAAGATCTCTGGATAGACGGAAACTGAAGCCAGACATGGAAAAAAGAAAATAGTACGATGGAAACGTGGCAAGGGAAAAACGAAAACTGAAGCGGACACGAAAAAAAGAACACTATTTGGATTAGGATACCTATTAATCAGTTTATTCATATGCCATATCAAACATGATGAGAGAGATCTATTATTTGGATTAGAATTAGAATTGCTATCTATCTAGGTTACCTCTAGAACCAATGCATGTCATATAAAAAAGAGGGCTGCAGACAAACGAGAACATAGATAATTTTAATTTTCATATTCACAAAGTTAATTAAGAGACGATGGACAAAAAAATAGCTAAAATTTTTATCTCTTTATTATTAGGTATAAACCGGATTAACACCCAACATATTTAGCAACAAGTTTACAAACAAAGAAACAAGTCCTAAACTTTTAATTTTTTTATGTAACCGGAAGAAGACAAGAAGTTAGTTGTCAATACTCGATGCGTCCATAAAAGAATTCAATTCTAGCGCAGTAGCAAGTTAAAGTATGTTGAGTTTCACTAATTATAAATAAAATATCAATATTTATAATATCTAATAAGTATTATTAGGTTTGGTATGAGATATATTTTTCACACTATATTTGTTTGTGGCGCACCAAGCCTTTTGACACCCTCACGGGGCTCGTGCTATCACCGCCCCATATGCGACCACCGTTTCGCCAGATCGAAATGACTCGAAACGCACGGAGATGAAAGCGGAGCCCGGAGCGTGGCTCATGTGTCGCCTGTCATTTCGCCAAGGCGAAAAGGCGGCCTAACGATTACACAGGGGCTGTTGCCTTTTCGCCAAGGCAAAGAGGCTTGCCCCATACGCCGTGGGGATCGTGGCCTAGCGAAAAGATGGCACTGAATCGAGCAGAGACTATCGTCATTTCGCCAAGGCGAGATGTTGGTCGCGCATTTTGGGTCCGGACGGTCCAAGCGCATGTGTAACACACTAAAATTTAAATTTTTGGAAATTGAGCTAAAGTGATTTAATTTGGAATTTTGTGCTCATGAAAACATAGGAAAATAAAATTTTTCATTAATTTAAAATTCATTATAGGGAGTAGCAACATGGATGTACATACATGCTGATGCATTTGATTTATTTGATAGAGTGGTTTTGATTTAAAACTTCAAAAATGGTTTAAATTGCTTTTGGAAAAAAAATTAAAAACGGCTTCGAACTAAAATAAAAGAAAGAAAAGAGAATTTGAAAATAAAAGAATTTAAAAAGTTGTAAAATTTATTTTGGAAAACTTATCAAAATTTCTCATTTATGTTCGAATTGAAAAGTGTATTTGAAATCCTATTCAAATCTGATTTGGTTTACATTTGAATTTAGTTTTTAAAACAAGTTAGAAAAAGATATGGAAAAAACCCTCTCTGTCCCTTTCGGCCTGTATGGCCGGTTTGCTTTTTCCCGCCGGCCCACGTCAGCACGCAGGCCCACTGCTCCTCTTCCTCCGTT